CTATGGGCCACTTGGTAATTGCACATATTTATAGGGTACAATGTGATTCCTTTCTTTTTTCTTTTTTTGGTGTGGGGGATCGAACTCAGTACCTTATGCTTGCAAGGCAGGCATGGCACAACTGAGCTAAATCCCTGGCCCCAGTGTGATTCCTTTTTTTTTTCTCCTTTGATTTCATTGAGTTTATTGGTACCTTGTAAGTATACAGTACAGTTACATTCATCATTGGGATCTTGTACCTTTACATGACAGCTCTTGGAGTGTGATTTCTTTTTAAGACAGGGCTCCATTGAGTCATCCAGGTCAGCCTTGAGCTTGGTATATAACCCAGGATGGCTGTGAATTTGTAGGGTTTCTCCTGCCTCAGCCTCCTGTGTGTTGGGATTACAGGTGTGTGCCATCACACTCAACCACAATGTGATATTTTGGTATATGGTGCCATGATGAAGTTAGGATAATTAGCATATCCATTGCCTCAGATGCGTTTAGTGCTCCTTTGTGTTGGGAACACCCAAACCTTCTTTTCTAGTTATTTTGAAATATACAATCCATTACTAACTGTAGCCAGCCTGCTGTGCACTTAGAACTTGTGATCTTCCTGCCTCATCCTCCCAAAGGGCTAGGATTATAGGCATGTGCCACCATGCCTGGTATATCTTTTTTTTTTTTTGGTTTTTTGAGACAGGGTCTCACTATGTCATTGAGACTGACCTGGAACTCACTATGTAGTCCAGGCTGGTCTCGAACTCACAGCGATCCTCCTGCCTCAGCCTCCCGAGTGCTGGGATCACAGGCGTACACCACCACGCCCGGCTCATGCCTGGTATATCTAACTGTATTTTTGTGTCTGTTATTCAACTTCCTTGATTCTCTTCTCAGCCTCTGGTAACCACTGTTTTACTTTTTGCTTCTGCGACATCATCCTTGGTGGCTCTCACATACCAGTGAGGACGTGTGGCCCCTGTCTTTCTGTGCCTGGCTTAGTTCACTTTATGGGACGAACTCCTTCTGTAGCTGAAGACTTGAGCTCAGAGAGGTTAAGAGGTAAACCTGGCATCCTGTTTGGCTTAGTTTCACTCAACCAACTCCTCTCCTGACATTAAGATTTAATGAAATTCTAGTTTGGTGGTGGTGGGGATGGGTCATTTTCTCACCCTGCCTAGTTGGGAGATGGGCCAACCATTCCTCGTTGAGGAGGGTTGTGGAGTCCAACTCAGTATCAGCCTTATAATGCAGGGCAAGAAAGCACAGCACAGAAAAGAGGGAGGGGAAGCCCCCCCCCACTCTTAGGAAAATACCAGTGGCCTCAGGGGTTGGAGAGGGGTGGGAAGGTGTGGATGGGTGGTCTGCCATCTTGAAAGGAAGTTCAATTTCATCACCATCAATGGGTACAGCTGTGCTGAGTGAGCACCAAGGTTTTCACAGATATTTTCAATACAGATAACACAGGCGTCTGGCAGCAGAAACTAGAGGGAGAGAATTCTAACAACAACAACAACAACAACAAACAAAAATAGACACACAGATTACACAGTTATTATGTACCAGTGCCTACCACGTATAATCTCGTTTCTTCTTCCATAACCAACTATGTAGGAGCCACTGTTGTGCTCATTCTGCTGACAAGGCCCTGGAAGTTGTAGAGGTGTTCTGAGCTCCCTGAACACACTCAGCTGGGAGAATTATTATTATTTTTATTTTTTCAGTATTGGTTGCTGACCCCAGGGCCTTTGCACTGAGATACATCCCCAGGCCCTTTTATTTTTTGAGATAGAGTTTCACTAAGTTGCCCAGGTAAGACTTGAACTTGTGAACTTCTTTCTGGAATCACAGGCTTGCACCATCACTCCTGGCTTAGCGAGGAGAATTTGAACTATTTAGCTGTGTGGTTTCCGGTTTCTTGTGTTCCCCCCTGTGGAGATCGACCCCTACTTTTTGGAAGTGCTAATGAACCCAAAACCGTTCCTCAGGAGAAGAAGTGGGAATAGCCGGGAAGGCTTTCCCTGGTCAGTGAGGATAGGATGTACCCGGATTTTGGCTGTGCTTCATGAAGCAGATTTTCTGCCCTCGTAGAGTCTTGTTTTCCATTTGTCAAAGCAGGATAGCTGTCGGTGGGGGGCAGTGAGTGACGTGGGAGGCACTGTGCGTTCCTGGCGCATAGTAGGTGCTCAATAAACATGGCATTTCTTTGGCGGCTGGAGCGGAGGTGAGGGGACTGAGAGCGTGGAACAGAATTACCGTGTGCTTTACTAGTCCCACTGCCTGGTATTCATCCAGCGGAAATGGAATCAGCACGTGGAAGAGATATCCATGCAGGCGTGGTTCAGACTGCGGACTCCACCTAGCCACGGAAGTCATTTCTAAATGTGGGGTGAGCGGATGAACAGGCAAGAGAAAAGACAGGGTCGATACCGGATGGAGTACTACTCAGCCATAACAAAGAATGCAACCGGGGGGTCCGGAGTTGTAATGCAGACCTAAACTGGGCACAGGGACATAAATAAAATGCCGCGTGATCCATCCCTCGCACATGTGGATTCTAAAAAAATAAAAAAGCTGATCGCATAGAAACTGAGCGTAGATTAATGGTTATCAGAAGGTAGAGAGGGCGGGAGGGGACAAGGGATCAAGGTTGGTCCAAGGGGTACGGAATTACCGACGGAGGGAGGGCTGAATTCCGGGGTTGCAGAGCTGGTAGGGTAAGTACAGCCAACAGTGAGGGAGTGTGTAATCGGAATAACTGGATCAGAGGCTTCTGAGCGTGCTGGCCACACGGAAATGATAATTACAAACCAGGGTACCAGATCAGGGACATTTTAACACCACGGCTCGATGGTTACCTGTGATTCTTGTATCGAAACATTACAAAGCGTCAACACGTTATGTTGTATCAAAGACATTGCAATGCATCAAGACATTCCGCTTGTATCAAAGCGCTACATCCAGGAGGCGCAACTAGGTGTCCATTTCGAAAGAAAGCTTAGGAGCAGAGCGGAGATGGATTCGCTCTCCGTTCGGGCGGAACAGTTTTCACCCCGAGCTCCCCGGGTCGGACCGGGGCTGGTCTTGGAAGCAGAGCTCTCCCGGCTCCCCAGAGAACCAAGCGGAGCTCCGATCGCGGGAGGGGTGCGGGGCGGTCTGCCCTTTCCGGTGTCCTCTCCGCTGGGGCCTGGCTGCCCCCCGGCCTTCCCCTGTGACCACAGGAAAGCGGTCCAGCCCGCACCTCCTCTTCTCTAAATAAACTCGGACAGCGCGCTATCTGCCGCCCCATCTGGCTTCCTGGAGGCCGTGCAGAGGGGCAGTGGCCGGGGGCTCCGGGCCCGGAGAGCGCTCAGCCCGTCCTGGCCTGGCCTGACCACCTGCCCGCCAGGTCCCGCTCCCGACCCGCCTGTCCTCTTCGGGGACGTGTGACAGTTAAATACAGGCGACCCACTCCGCGCTCTCCCTCCTTGTCGTCGCTTCGCCTTTGGAACTTTCCAAAGCCTCTTGGCGAGCTCTTCGTGAATCACCCAACAGGTTGCCGGGAATGTAGGGGCCAAACTGTGCGAGGACCCTAGAACTTATTCTTCCCTGAGCCTCGCTGCCTGTGATCCAACTTCCCTCAGCCCCGGTCCCTCTGCCCTTCCAGGCCTCTCTAATCGCTGTCCTGCTCTCTCCTTTTTGAAAGACATTTGTGTTCTTTTTTCATCTGTCTGCATCTGTTGGGTCCCGTTCCATTTGGCGCGAGACCCAACTCTCTGTTTCCGATTCTCCCTCTTTGCTGTCGCCCCTTCATTCATTTGTGCTTTGGGCTTCTCCTATCCGAGAAACTGCGGTGTGAGAGCCCACGGGGCCGATTCAGGGCACTCGGTGCGGGTTCAGCTGCCCCCGGTCTCCCGCGCGCCACTGAAGTTTCTTTACCGTTCCTCATGGCGGAGTCGTGGGCCGTGCTCCTCTGCTCTCTGCTCTACCCGTCCCACGAGATCAGCTTCTTTTAGCTTCCACACGAAGGCGATCATGCGTGCCGCGTTCGTCTTTCTGTGCCTGGTTATTTCACTTAGCACAAAGCCCTCAGGTTCATCTCTGTTTCCCCAAATGATAAGGTCTCGTTCTTTCTTAAAGAAATGGCTGGGGCGTCCCACTGCGGACGTCGCCCACACTTTCTTTACGATCCACCTGGCCACTGCGGTTGATGCCACGTCTCGCCTACAGTGAATGGCGCCGCAGGGAAGACAAGGGGGCAGGCGTCTCTTCCACGCGCTGATCTCACCCCTGGGACACATGCCCGGGAGCGGGAAAGCAGATCCTCACTGCGGCTCTGCCTGGCTGGGCCTTCGGAGACCCCCAGGTGGTGTCCCCTCCCGTCCAGTCCAGCTGCGGCCGAGCTTGTCTCTGAGGTTTCTTGCTTTTCCTGTTCTCTCCCCAGCACCGGAGTGGAAACTTTCGGGTGCCGGCCCCAGAGCCTGAGGGGCCCCTAGACCCCCATATATAGGAGCCCATCGATCCCCGGGCTCTCGTCAGCCTCGTCTGTGGTTGGGATGGTTCCTGGGACTCCCCCGGGAGCCCCCAGGATGGGGCCAAGTGGGTGGCAGGATGCTGGGCTGCAGCAACTTGTCTGGGGTCTGGCGGAGGAACCTCAGGAGCTGTGTGGGCCTCACCCTCCGGGGGAGAGGGGTGATTCAGGCTCATTGCCCCTCACTTTTGGGGCTCCTGCTCCTTGACGATGACGCACCAACTTGTTCATTTATTCAGGAATTCACTGACATTTCACAGAGCTTGTCTAAATATTCATGCATTTACAGGTTCATCTCCCCCCAAACAGTCATACATTTCATGGTTCATTTCAAAAAATATCTGTGTTTATTGGCTCATTCTAGGAAAAAGAAAAGTCGGTGTATTTATTGGCTCATTGCAAAAAGCATGCAGGCATCCTGGACTATTCAGCAGAGCATAGATATTTCAGGTGCAGATAACCTTCAGGACGGCGGAATCAAACACAACTGCAACTTTTGTTTTTTTTGCAGGACCTCTGAGAGCCTTTAGTTTACTTTGTGAGTCCCCTTCGAAGAATCAGGTATGGCTTATGTTTTCACCCGTTTTTCTTCTTCTCTTTTGGAGCTAAGCACTCTCTACCCCGTAGCTCCTGCGAACCCTGGGAAAGGAAGACTTGGGCCCGTGGTCAGAGTTCCCCAAAGCATTGGTATTTGACTGTCTGGGCCTTTATCCTCCCTCAAGCAGGATCTGAACCATCTTTTCTTTCCTGGGCACTTTTTATCAGCTTACACTTGTGACACAAAATGAGTACATTCATCTTGGGTGATTTTCACAGACAAGCTGGACCCTGACCCTTTTTACTGCCTTTTCTTCCCTTCCCTCATCTGCCTCACCCTTAGAGCCCTTCTCATCCCCATGAAGTCTACCTCCTGTTTCCTATCATGATCATCATCATCCCTCTGTCATTTTTCTCTTTAAACGATTTACACTTCTCCTACGAGAGAGGCCGTGGGATATTCAACCTCCTGCATCTGGCTTATTGCTTGATCCGAGTTGTCCCCTACAGCCTCAGGAATAAAAGACAAAGTGTGGAGGGAACATCAGAGAAGAAAAATACTCAAGAAATCTGAGAAAGCTGCTGTAGCAGTGCTGGGTGGGCATGGTGGCCCACGGCTGTGCTCCCAGCACTCTGGGAGGCTGAGGCAGAAAGGTCGGGAGTTTGATGGCAGCCTGGGCCACAGCGAGTGAGAAGGAACCGTCTCAAACAAACAAACAAACAAACAAACAAGGAGGCGGGTGCTGGCTCAGTGCAAAGACCTTGGGTTCAACCCTTACTATGGCAAATGAAGCAACCAGCCATCAACCAACCAACGAACCAACCAAACAAACAAATAAAGCAAATGCCAAAGAACCGCGTTTGCTGGTGGCCAAAGCAGAAAGGGGGATCTGGAGGCTTTCACGGCTTTTGGTTGGCGGCTCAGCAGGAAAGGCAGAGCTCTCCAGCTCTGAGTGAGGCTGCTTGTGTTTATCTGTTCTTTACTGATCATTCATTCATTTCTTCACTCACTCACTGAATGTTTACTTAGCCCCTGTTATTTATAAGCAAATGCTAGATACCATGGATAAAATGGTAGGAAAAATAAACCAACCAAAAAATAAACCAAGCCAAACCAAAACAAAAGCAAAACAACAAAACCAAAAACCCCAAAACAAAAAAAAACCCCCCCCAAACCTACACCTGCCCTCGTAGAAGCTCCAGCCAGAACAAGCACACTCTACTCTCTTCTTTGAAATTTGTTCTTAATTCTCCGACGGAACCTTTCGCCCCTGCCGTGGTTTTTCTCTTCCTGTGTTATATCAGAATCACAGTCGGTGGTGATCTTCTAGGTGCAGGGAGCCCAGGTGATCCACAGAACCCAGATTGTTTTTGTGTCAGAGTTTTCAGGAAAACCAGCATGGGAAACTGGGCGGAAGCAGAGGAGCTGGTCCTCTTCCAGGCCCGGGACATTCGTGGGACGCTGGGCGTCTTATCTGGGCACCTCTGGGCGTCAGGGAGCTAACTGCTTGACCTCTCCTTTGCCCCGTCCTCAAACTGTGGTTCAGCACAGATGTGGGAAATTCTCAAGGAGCACGGTTTTATTGATTTATTGGATGGACAGATGGATCTGTAGGTGGATATGTGAGTAAATAATGGAGTTGTGGAAGGATGATTTGAGTAGAGGAGGCGTCCTTATCGGATGAATAAAAGAAGGAAACGGTGGATGGGTGGCATCAGTGAATAAACATGTGGGTGGAAAGATGCCAAGTAAGGGCACAATATTATTTTTTAAATGAGGCTGTCAGTGAATGAATGGAGCTTTAGAGATGATGGAACTTTAGTCCTTTTTCTGCAGCCCATTCTGGGTAATTTATAAAGAAGAGAGATTCTTTTAGCTCACGGTCCTGGAACCCAGGGAGTCCCTGAGCATGGTGCTGGCCCCTGCTTGGCATCTACAGAGGACCATCTGGCTGCACGCTGATATGGAAGAGGCAGCCCCGGCCCTCCAGGAGGCTGAGTCAGGAGGGTGGCAAGTTTGCATCCAGCCCGGTCACTGAGTGGGTTCAGCAAGAGGCTGTCTCAGAATAAAAAATAGCAAAAAGGGACAGAGGACATAGCTCAGTGTGAAGGCTCTGGGCTCCATCTCCATCAAGGAAAAATAGCAAAAGCTCACTTTTATAACAAAGCCACTCCTTCAATAACCCTCTAAAGCATGGGCCCACGGATGGATTAGGCTCTTCATGAGGGAAGCATTCTCGTGGCTCAGTCCCCCCACAAATATCCCCTCTACAGATGCCATTAACACGGGAGATTGGAGGTTCAGTTGTTCACAGGTGGAATTTAGGGGCTGCGTTTACATTAATGGGTGATGGGCCGACGGTGGCAAAGCCAGTGAACGACCGTGCAGTTTTCTGGGGAGGTGGATGGACATCTGCAAGGGGTTGGGGGCGCCTGGGTTGATGGTGAGTGGCGAGCTGGCTGGGTGGGCGAGGGACGCACCCAGGGGCACTTGAGCGAGTGCGTGGGCAATGAGATCATCTGATGTCGGCTTTGCAAAGTTCTGGCCACGGGAGGAGGTCTGGGGGGTCCAATCTAGGCACGGTTCGGATGAGAATCAGCTTGTGTTCTGGCCCCCAACTTGACCGGCTTAACTCTCCGGTGAACACATTTGCTCCTTCTAGGTTCAGTCTTCCTTTGGTCTCCCAGAAATCTACCCCGGATCTGAGATCAAGCCGAGCCCTCGACTTGCTTGCCGACTCCAGTGGTAAGCAGAACGCCCGGGGGGCCGTGGGTGCTCTCTTGCCCCGCCAGCCAGTGGCTTCTCTCCGGCGGCCTCTTCACGGGGCATCTCCCCACTGCCCCATCTCCGTGTCCTCGCTGGTCCCCAGCCTGACTCCCCTTCTACCTGCTCCTTCTCGTGGCGAGGTCAGAGACGCACCGTATAGGAGAGGTGGGGTCCCCGGGGTCACCCTCTGCCCGGACCAAGGCCTCTCTCCTCTTCCCCCGGTTCCCGCGCAGCCATGGATGTGAGTCTCTTGGACCTGCCAGATGCTTCGCAGGTTCCCGGAAAGACTCGCCTTCGGGGCAGGGGCCCGGCCGTGCGTCGGCAGCGAGAGTTCACGCCGGAGGAGAAGAAGGACAGGGTTTACTGGGAGAAGCGGAGAAAGAACAACGAAGCGGCCAAGAGGTCCCGGGAGAAACGCAGGCTCAACGACGTGGCCGTGGAGGGCAGGCTGGCCGCGCTGCTGGAGGAGAACGCGCTGCTCCGCGCAGAGCTGCGGGCCCTCAAGCTGCGCTTCGGCCTCCTGCCGCCCCTCCGTGGCCCCCGGACCTTGCCTCTGCGGGCTCTGCTGTGGGAGCCGCCCTGGCCCCGAGACCCCCGCTCTGAGGCCGAACCGCTCTCGACCCTGCCTGGCTCCCACGGCTGCCTCGTGACACCGTGTTCTCTGAATCCTGGGATCCCGGGGTGCCGAGGCTGCCTGCTGGCTCAGGGGTGGACGGGTCTTGCCGCTTGCCCCAGATTCCCCCAGGAGCCTGCTGCTCCCACCCCCAAGGGAACGGACACGCACCTGCAGGCGGCTCTCCCAGCTGCCTTCTTCCGCTGTCACCTCTTGGACGGGCACGTGGGGCCCAGGCTGGAGCTGGAGCCTGGCTGGGGGCTGTGGTCACCCGTGCACTCTGGGTGCCAGGCCTCGGCACCCTCCGATGTGATGCTGACGCCCTCCGGAGATGCCACAGGGGTTTCTCCTGGGGCGACCTGCCCTACTCCGGGGAACGGTCCCGAGGGGGTAGCTCAGCCCTCCCTACCACACAAACTGTGCATCAAGTCCCAAGCTCTGGGCGGAGTGTGTTGAGGCTGGCTGGGATTGAACATGGGTTTGTCTGGTGGGGGAGTGGTTTGGCCTTGACCAGCTCGCAGAGGGTGGCAAGGCTTGTAGGAAATAGGCTGCCCTGGCCGGCAGGGTCCACTTGCCAGTGTCCAGAGCAGGTTTTCAGGCAGAGGAGATAAAGTCCCATGTCGGTTTTGATCATGCAATTGCCTTGCCTTAAAATCTGTGCTTTGGATCGTTCCTTCTCCATACACCCACCCGCCCGCTCGTACACCAGTCCACCAATCACCCAGCCATTCACCACCCTTTTACTCACATATTCATTTAATCCCTGATTCACAGGCTGACTTATTCCTCATTAAGCCATTCACTTGCTTAGCTACAGTTCATCTGCGTCCCCATCTGCCTGCTCATGGGCTTGGGACCCTGTCTCAGCTTACTGACAAGTGTGAGGACACCTGTCTGGCCTCGGATTCCTCCTTAGGGACAGACATGGAGGGTCTGAGGAGAGTCCTCCCTTCTTCAGGTGCTCTTGAGGACTCGCTTACCACCCAGTTTGAGGAGCCAGTGGGCCCTACCCAGGTGGCTTCCTGTTTGTCTCGGGTCAGAGGCCTGGGCTTTTGGGACAGATCGGCCACATCTGTGTGTGTGTGGGGGGTCAGGGTCCTCTGCCCTCCCCGTCTGCTCCCTGATCTTAAGGACTAGGCATGCACACTCCCAGCTGGGGAGGAGAAAGCGTCACTTGGCAGGGAGCGTCTCCAGAGGGTCCCCCCTCCCCGCCTCCCTGGCCAGCTGGGTCATCAGGGAGAAGTTTGGGGGATGGGCTAGTTCCCAGCCTTGTTGGGTTCATCAGGGTTCATCAGGGTCACAAATGTACGGAGGGTGGGGACATCCAGAACGTCTCCTCACTGGTACAGCTGAGCGGCATCATAGGCGCAGACATAGCCCTGCCCAGGACCCTTATTCTGATTCAGGGCCGAGACTGGGCACAGCCAGGCTCACGATCCCTGTGCGGGTGGCGTGGGGCTGTCAGCTCGCTTATCATCCCAGGCATGGGTGGGCTGAGGGCCTCTGCTTTGCCCCTGCTCGTAGGCCTGGTTCGGAGACTCAGATCTCCTAAGAAATGTCCTGGAGAGGCTGGAAGGTCTGTCTGGCAGGGGTTGTCCCAGCCCGTCCCTCCCCAGCCAACTCCGCCAGCTGGAAATGGGGAGCTCGTGGTGGGGGAGATCCCACTTGGCAAAGGCCAGAGAAAGCTCTACCTAAGAGTGATACAAGAATTTCAACACCAGAAGGGGCCCCTAGAGTCTACGGAGTGGTTACCTCGTCTCTGCTTGAGTATCTCTCAGAACAGGGAACTCACTTCCTCAGAAACAAGTCACCGTTTCCTCTCTTGAGCCCAAACCCACTTCTTGCAAACGTCTGCCTCTGGTTCTGTTCTTAACACACACTCGGTCGCCCATCTCTGTTCCCTCCTTCCTCTCGGAGAGGCCTGGGACGGTGGATGATGACCCTGGATCCTCCTTTCTGAAATGGACGCCACCACACGTAGCTCAGATAGTCGGAGAGGACAAAATCTCATTTATTCCATGCACAGAGCTCCATGCACAGCTCAGTGCGCAGTAAGCGTGTGACACACGTCGACTCCCCTTTCTGAGAACGTTCTCATGTTTGCAGATTCAGAGTAGGACTCTATTAGGGGAGTGCCTGCTTGTTCTGCAAAATCCCTCCTCTTCCCTCTGGCCTGGTTCTCATTTTCTGTCAAGGCTATTTATATATGATGACTCTTGGAACCGAATACGCATGTCAGAGATGTTAGCAGATTACAGAGAGACTTAACTCCAGTCGGGGGGACCGTGTGACCCCCCACGTTCCTGCATATGAACACGAACTTGGTTTATGCATGAAGTATATATTTGCAACAGACAGTTTTTGAGCCCCTACTGTGCATTAAGCGGGAACTGGGTACGGGGAGCAGTGATCCAGACGGAGGGTTTGTGGAAAGAAGCAGCTCACACAGATGTCCAGGACGTTCACTCAAGATGTGTCCATTAGTTTCCTTCTGTGCAAGACCGTGGGACTGCAGTTGTGGCCTCTCTAAGAGCCGTTGGGAAGCTTAGTAATTCTCCAGGTCAGGTTCAGCGTTGCCTCAGGGACTGAATTTTAGGACGTTACTCAGCCACAGGTGACTTCTCCTCCTCCACCCGTCCTTCCAGGATGGCGACGTCTTGCTGGGTATAAACGCGTACAATTCCCTTCCTGCTTCAGAGGTGCCTGGTCCTGTGGAATGTGCAATAAACATCGAGTGAAAGGGTCGGGTTGTCCTAGTCGATGATTCCCTGGGGCAGACATAAAATGTCATGAGGCCGATGCACTCAAGTTTTCTGTCTCCTTGAGGATTGCCAGACACTTCCTGGAGGAGGCCTATGTTGTCCGGATTCTCCACACTCAGAGTGGGGTCCATGGGCCGGTGGCGTCAGCACTGCCTTTTATTACAAATGCAGAATCTTGGACTCTTCCCACAATAGCCGAACCAACCATAATTAGCTTTTTGTAAATTTCCAGGTGACCCTCACGCCCATTAAAGTTTGAGAAGTACTGATCCAGGGAAGGCGTTGGCAGGCACCTGTTTGGCTTTGGAGGACAGACAGCTTCTGTCACAGCTACTCCACTTGGCCAGCATAGCATGAAGACAGCCACGCACGATGTAGCAACAGATGCCCACAGTTGTGTTCCAATAAAACTTTATCGATAAAAATGGAAACAGATGTGACCAGGCTGAGCCTGTGGCCATAGCTTGCCGATCCCTGCTGTTGGCTGTAACCTTAGGCATGGAATTGTGGATCATAAGGGCATTTGTCTTCAACCTTGACGTTACCAACTAGTTCTACAGTGCTGTGTTCCTAGTTTAAGCCCTTTGCATGCAAAGGAAATTTGTGTTCACATATATATTCCAACGCCTGGTCTCTGGCGGACTTTTTAGCTTTTGTAAGTTGAGTGGGTGTAAAAATGGTTTAAACCTACATTCCTCTGTTGAACATCTTTGTCAAGACCCGTTGGCTGCTGGGTCTTCCTCTTCTATAAATTGCCTCCTCTATTGGGGCACTTTCTTTTTCTTTATTGATTTCTCAGAGCTCTTTATATATTCTAATTAGGGCCAGGGATTTAGCTTAGTGTTTCCGTTGCCTGCCTCGCAAGTGCGAAGTCCCAGGTTCGATCCCCGGTACCAAAACAAAAACAGCGGAACAACAACAATAACCAACAACAAATATATACATTCTACATACACACCCTTTGGGGGGACATCACGTACTTTTGGCTCATTTCATCTTTTCATTTTATTCACAGCATGCTTTGAAAATGATATAGCCAAATGTATCAATCCTTTGCCTCCCTCTGACAAAGTGGGGGTCTTGCTTTGCTGCCAAGGCTTGCTGCAAACCCCTGGGTTCAGACGACACCTCCTGTGTCAGCCTCCTCTGTGCTGGGTGAACACCTCTGTGCCTAACCTTTAATCATTTCTTTTATGATTTGCAAACATTGTCTTATTCAGGATTCCTTTAGTATATCAAGGCTTCAATGTCATCTCTTTTTCTTCACGTTCCGGTACCAGTGAAAGAGAAAGAAGTAAAATATGTGGATTTCCTGTCATTCTGATGGCCCAGTGAGGGAGACAGATAAAAACCCAAACAAACAAGAGAATGTATAGCAGAGCCAATCATAAGTATCAGGGAGAAAAAAAGGCAGAGGGCTTGGGAAAGGCATGGGTGAGTGGGATATAATAATTGAAATAGGAAAGTCAGGAAGGGCTTTCCTGGAAAAGTGGCATCTGAGCAGGGACTTAAGGAAGGGAATCATACTTGTATCCAGGGAAGAGTATTTCTTTAGCAGCAAGAACAGCCTATGCAAAGGCCCTGAGGCAGGATCACATCTGGTATTCTGAGGAACTTGGAGGCATCCCATGTAGCTGCAGCACAGTGAGCGAGGGGAGAGTAAGAGGGTAGGTGAAGGCAGGGGAGGGGACAGATTGTGCAGGGCCTTGTGGTCAAGGAAAAGACTTTGGCTTCCTCTCTGAGTGAGGTAGGAGGGGCGGAGGAGTTTCTGGGTGTATTTTTGCTGTAACTGTCCTCTAACCCCCATCCTGTGGTGGGCGAGGGTGAATGAAAATAAATAAACCCACCACACAAGAGGAAAGAGCGGGCTTGCTTTTGGGTGAGGGGATGGGGTGGTGATGGACCACAGTGATTCATTTCCCCATGGGTGGCCACAGACTCCTGGCCCTCAGAAACAGGGAACTCCTCCTTCCTGGCTTTCTGGGACCTGGTGGGATGAGCAGATAAAGCTGCTCAACAAGGTGGAATCATGAAGAGAACACAGATGTTTCTCTTTCCTGTTACGTAAAGATGGCTTCCACTAAGTGATCACGTTTGGCCAGTGTGGGAGGGAGGGATGTTCCAGGGTGTGGAGGATGCGGGAGGGTGAAGAGCTGGCCCAGGTAGAAGGGTACTTCCCGTTCAGACAGGAAGTGGCCAAGAATAGCCCATGAGGTAGCGTGCTGGGCTCAGGTAAACAGGAAGAGACAGAGGAGTTGGAGATAAAGTGATTCCAGTCTGTGACACTGGGGACAAGGGCCGTGTGAGACCAGGGAGTGGGAAGGAGGCAGAGGCTTACACTTGCTCTGTAATATTGTGACTCCCGAGAGTCTGCCACTCACGAGTGGGCTCATTTCCTGGCCACCACAAGTGACAACGCTGATGACTGATTCTCTGTGGGTTTGGTTTGACCCTCTGTCAAAGGCTTCGTTGTCATGGTTCCTATGAACAGCTGGGGAAACCGAGGCCCAGAGTGGTTATATATCTCACCTCACCTCCCTTGGCTGGCAAACTGGTGCACGGGCCATTTCTCCCTTGTCACCCACTGGGCTGGCATCGTTGGGGCCAACTTCCTACTCTCTGAAGGCCTTTTCTGCTTTTTCTGTCCGTGCTGTTCCTTGTGCTGGAATGCTATTCTCTGTGTGTCTGTGTCCT